CCTCCTGTCCCTGGCACGCACCGGATGTCTCTGCGTCCGTCCACTGCTCCTCTGCGTGCCCCTTTGCCTTCGCCTCCTGAGTCCTCTCTTCCTGCGCTTGCCGACCCTGAGTCGGACTCTCTTCGCGCTGCCAGTCCTACTGTCACGCGTCTGCTTGCTACTGTCGTCACTGACCCCTCTTTTGAGTCCACTGCTGCGTCTGCTCTAGTCGCTGAGCTCGTTGACTTTGCTGCTCGCTGTCGTCTCGACTACGCTGCTGGTCTTGTTGCTGAGTCTGCGTCTGTCTGTCCTCCGTCCGTCGGGGGTGAGTGTGCTCTTGGCACGGACGTCCTAGAGGACAGACAGGAGGAGTTACAGTGTCTAGCGGCTGCTTCACCTCATCTCGCGTCTGTACTGCTTGCCCCTGAGGGAGACCCGGATGCACTAGACATCCCGACTCCGCGTTCTTACGCGGAGGCCGTAGAGGGTCCCTACTCCTCTCAGTGGCACGCAGCTATGGATGCAGAGATGGCTTCCTGGAAGTCCACAGGCACCTACGTTGACGCAGTTCCCCCTCCTGGGGCGAACATCGTCAGTGGCATGTGGATCTTCCGGGTGAAGCGGCCGCCGGGCTCTCCACCTGTCTTCAAGGCGCGGTACGTTGCTCGTGGCTTCAGTCAGCGGCAGGGAGTTGACTACTTTCAGACCTTCTCTCCCACCCCGAAGATGACCACTCTTCGGGTGCTGCTGCACATAGCCGCTCAGCGCGACTACGAGCTTCACTCTCTCGACTTCAGCACTGCGTTCCTGCAGGGTAGCCTGCACGAGGAGATCTGGCTGCGCCGTCCACCTGGCTTCACTGGGACTTTCCCTCCTGGCACCCAGTGGAGCCTCCGACGGCCAGTCTACGGTCTCCGCCAGGCACCGCGTGAGTGGCACGACACATTGAGGACTACGCTTGCGGCTCTTGGGTTTGCTCCTTCTACTGCTGACCCGTCGCTGTTTCTGCGCACCGACACTTCACTGCCGCCGTTCTACATCCTCGTGTACGTCGACGACTTGGTCTTTGCCACAGCGGACACTGCTGGACTCGCCTACGTGAAGTCCGAACTGCTGAAGAGACACACGTGCACAGACCTGGGTGAACTGCACAGCTACCTTGGCTTGCAGATCACTCGGGACAGAGCACGCCGCACCATTACCTTGACTCAGTCACACATGGTGCAGCAGGTCCTTCAGCGCTTCGGCTTCACGTACTCCTCGCCTCAGGCCACTCCTCTGCCTACTCGCCACTCACTCTCAGCTCTGCCTTCGGATGAGTCCGTAGAGTCGAGTGGTCCGTATGCAGAGCTTGTTGGCTGCCTCATGTACCTGATGACCTGCACACGACCTGACCTTGCATATCCTCTAAGCATTCTTGCACGCTATGTTGCTCCTGGGAGACACAGACCAGAGCACATGGCTGCAGCGAAGAGGGTATTGCGCTACCTGTGCAGTACGTCGGGCATGGGGCTTGTGCTTGGAGGGCGGAGTCCAGTGGTCCTTACCGGCCACGCGGACGCTTCTTGGGCTGACGACCAGGCTACGCAGCGGTCGTCACAGGGTTACACCTTCAGCCTTGGTTCCGGCTCTGTCTCGTGGCGGTCTACTCGCTCGTCTTCGGTTCTCGGCTCCAGTTGTGAGGCTGAGATCTACGCTGGGGCCATGGCTGCACAGGAGCTTCGCTGGCTCACCTACCTGCTGACTGACCTTGGAGAGCCGCCTCGTTCTCCTCCAGTGCTGTACGTAGACAACAAGGCCATGCTGGCCTTGTGTCGAGAGCAGCGCTTGGAGCACAGAACGAAGCACATTGCTCTCCGCTACTTCCTTGCTCGTGAGCTGCAGCAGCGTGGTCAGTTGCGACTTGCGTACGTGGCCTCTGAGGCCAACACTGCTGATGTGTTCACCAAGGCACTCGCGCCTTGTGACCATCAGCGCTTTTGCACCCAGCTAGGACTTGTGCCTGTCTTGCCTCACTTGCTCTCCTCTTGACTTCACTTGTACTGTGACATATATATATACCTGCTCTTGCTTGTCTAGTTTTATATATATGTCTGTACTCCTGCATGTGAACTGGCCTCTGGCCCTGCTCTTGTGCTCGGACTGTGTGGTGACTTTGTGATCCACCCTGAGCTTGCTTTGCTTTGCTTGACTGGTCTTGTGACCCCTTGTTCTCCCCCACTTTGCCTATGGGGGTGTGTCAAACATTATATATGTTATGCTTGTGTAGGCTACAGTGGGTTAGCCTATAGGGGGTACACAATTCTAGGGTTTCCTACTTGTACTCATTTCACTGCTAGTTCATTCATTCCTGTTCGCTTATTCTCACAAAACACACTTTCCAACTCTCTCGACTCTCTCACCCTTGGCTAAACCCACTCGACATCCTAGTTGGGCCTAGGCTACTAAGCCTAGGCCCTAGTTAAAACTCACTTCATTCACGTTCATTATTTCGATATGCGACTGCACGGCATCCCTTCGGCAATCATCAGCGACCGAGACCCGAAGTTCACATCAAAGTTCTGGAAGGAGACGTGAGCGCAGTACGGCACGAAGCAACGGTTCTCATCGGCATATCACCCACAGACGGACGGTCAAACCGAGCGGACCAATCAGACCATGGAGCAGCTGATCAGGACAAACTGCCCCGACCCTGCCCGCTGGGAAGACTCCCTCGCAATGTTGGAGTTCTCTTTCAACAACGCACCGTCCAGCACGAGTAATCACTCCCCGTTATTTTCTAAATTACGGGATGGACCCGACAATTCCTACGGTAACCACTCTCGACAACCCGGTCCCGAGGTCACAGACTTTCGTGACGGAACTTCAGGAAGTCTGAGAAAAAGCCGCCGATGCAATCCGCAAGGCGAATATTACTTCCCGAAAATACACCGACCTTCTACGCCAGGAACTCGTCTTGACCACTGGGCAACTAGTGCTACTTGACACGAAGAACCTGCACCTGCCCGGCCCGTCGAAACTACGGCCACGATTTTGTGGTCCTTGCAAGATTCTCCAGATGGGGACACCTGTCACCGCGAAGCTGTTGCTACCGGACGACTGGCACATTCACGACGCCTTCCACGTCAGCCTTCTTCGCAAGTTCGTGTCAGCCACGACCGATATCGCAGCAAGCTGCCCCGACAGCACGACCTGTGCCGGAACCGACTCTCGACCCATCGAAGATTTTGGCACATAGGGTCCGCATTGACGCAGCAGGACGACAACTGGATTTTCTAATCCGCTTGACTGACCGCACCAGTGAGGACGACACGTGGGTGCCATCCGCCTCGCTCCACGCCTCGCCAATTGTTGGGGATTACCTGGCGCGCCGGCGTGTTTCGGATATTGACCGCCTTTCTTAAGGGTGGGGGGGGGGGGGGGGGGGGGGGGGTGGGGGGGGGGGGGGGGGGGGTGTGTAAGGAATTTTCACGAATTCCTTATCGGGGTTGGCTGCTTCGCGTACAACCCGATTTTCGGAGTTCGCACGTTCGGCCGATTTCAACGCTGCCGAGGCTCCTCGCGTCGCCTTCGGCATTTCCATCGCCCAACCTGCACCCAACCTCGCTTGTCCGAGGTTTCTTCCTAGCTAGGCTAGCCCTACATTAGGGCGTATTCCTACGGCCTCCTATCAAGAAACCTCCTATCAAGATTGTACCTTTTGCCTGGTAAAAGTAGCGAGAGATTTTAGGTTTAGGGAATTTTCCAGTGAGAGCTTGATAGGAGGTTTTCTTGATAGGAGGATAGGAATACGCCCTTAGTCTGTGCATTCATTGTATTCGCAGTTCATTCAGTCACTGCCTCGTTATTCGTTTACCTGCGCACTCTCTTTTATAACTCATAACAGTATTCGTCTGGGGGGAAAATGTATCTGCTGTGTTCGATTTTGCTTTAGATTCTGCGATTCCTTCGTTTCATTACGGTTCAAAACGGTGAGAGACAAGGGAGGTCGATTACCGTGTGGAAACGTTTCAAACCGTACTGGGTGATCAGCCGTCGAAGTGCGGAAAACAGGTCATGTCACGTCAGCAAGGGAGAAATAATCGGCGCTTGGAATCAACTACAATAATTGAGCAAGATGGAATGGACACATTTAGTCTTAGAGGTTCCCAGTCCTGACTACTATCGGCTCCTCGCTCAAAATGCGTTTTGATCCACTCCGAGCGACTCGCATAACCGTTACAGCATGCCACATCTACGTCAGCCTAGGAGGTGTTTAACGATAACCTAGAGAATGTATCGAGGAGAAAACGCACGTATGCATGAAAAGGCAGGTTCAACTTGAAGGCGGTTGATCTGAACCGGCTTGAATCTGACGCTAGTTTGGCTTGCCACGATAACCTTCCCGCCGTGCCTCCTCCCTCTCCATATGTCATAAGAATCAGGGACGCTTATTACCGTCGCTCCTCCTCCACCTCCCTCTTCCTCCCTACCTCACCATGCCGTACGTTCCTCCGCATAGGCGAGCCGGCGCAGCCGGTTCCACTACCGGGTCTGCTTCTACCGAATCTGATTCCATGCCACCAGCAGCTGCTTTACGTCATGGCCGTCATGGAGGCTCGATGTCTGGCTCGGGAAACAGGTTCGGGGGACGAGGCCGAGGCAGGGGCCGTAGTCAGCCTTGGGGACGAGGCAACAGTTCTTCGTTAAGAATGAAGCCATTAGATTCCCCCAGTGTTGTAATCCAAACCCTAGTCGATGATTTTCTCCTACGGAGATCGCCTGAAATGGAGCTTGCTTGTAACGGTGACTGTTCTTGCAACGGGGGAAGCGCTAGCTGCAACCGAGTGGTTCTTAGGTTCGAACGGTTCATGGGGATTGGCCACCATGGGGAACGCAATCTTGCCACATTAAGACTAGCCTCAGAAACAGAAGCTCATGACACTACCAAACCACCAGAAGATTCTTCTCCTCCTGATGCTTCTCTCTCCTCACCACACACTCTCTCTCCCTCTTCTTTGCCCTCCTTATCCGCCTCCGTAATGGGCCTGCTCCATAAAGCATTAGAGGCCGCACATAGAGACATGCACGTGGGTGGGGAGGCTGGTAGAGGGCACCCCCGGGTGGTGGATCGGTGCAAGCTGGCAGTGTCGTTCGTCAAGATGCTCTTCAAACCGCCCTTTGACTGCCCACCGTACGTGTGGACGTGTGGTGAGATGTTGCATTGCTTGTGGGACAGTGTGAGGCACTGTGAGGCACTGTGAGGCAGTGTGAGGCAGTCGCAGGTGGTGGACCGGTGCAGGGTGGCAGTGTCGCTGGTGAAGATGCTCTTCAAACCGCCCTGGGATTGCCCCGCGTTTGTGTGCGCGTGGCGAAATGTTGTGTTACATGTGAGCGCAGGACAATGTGTGGCATGGCAATGCAAGGTGTTCTGAGGCATTGTGAGGCATTGTGAGGGTTGCTGGTTGGTTGGCCTCATATGACGATACCAACCCAAATGCGAATGCCAACTTCTTTGTATCGGTTAGTCAGTAGCTAAAAGTTGAGGACGGGCATACCTGGGCGGCTGGGCTTGCGAGAGGTTTCCGTTTCTCCTCCTGTGCTCTTCAAACCGCCTTGGGATTGGGATTGCCCCGTGTATGTGTGCGCGTGGCGATATGTTGCATTGCGTGTGAGCGTGGGACAATGTGTGACAATGTGTGGCATTGTGAGGCAATCTGAGGAGTTGTGAGGCGTTCTGAGCCATTGTGAGGCATTGTGAGGGTTTCTGGTTGGTTGTTTGGCGTTATATGACAATGCCAAACCAAGCGCGAATCTCAATTTCTTCGTATCACTTAACAATAGCCTTACAGTCAGAGACGGGCATACATGGGCCTTACCGCGAGGATTTCTTTTCTTTTCTTCTCCTGTGCAATATCACTATCTGCAGGACTCTCCTCCCCGGTCTACCGCCCTTTACAGCGGGTGCGTTTGAAGCACATGTGAACCAGCAGGCACGCCACTTGCCGGTGCCCGTGAAACACATCTACGACAAGGGCTTCCCAGAGACGGTGCTCAAAACGGTGGAGGGCATTGCATTGGAGGAGGGCAGCAGGAGGCCCGGCACCAAGAGACGCTACCACCTCCGGGTATGCTTTTGTGCTTGCGAGTCGACTCAAAAGCCTTTTACAGGTACACGTTTGTTCTTAAGGCTGCTTTTAGCTTGTTAAGAGGTTGTGAGCTTGACTGGAGGTGAATACCAGTCAAGACGCGTCCTGGTAGGTTAGCACGAAGGCATGACTCACGCAGGAATCGCTTTGAACACACGATTTGTGGTACTACAACGAAGGGTAGAGGGAACAGCGTTTTGCGTTTCTACAGGCTGACTCTCAGGCTGAATGTCATATTCTAAGCTTGCTTTATCTGCCCTCCATTGTGCTCATACCCTTCGTCATACACACTACCACCACTGCATACTGCATACATAAAAAATGTCTCAGATTCTTCCATTCTCTCAGCGCATCCTTTTATATCCTCCACGAAATGCAAAACAGATCAGAGACACCAACACTGGCAAAACATACAAGTTGATATGTGTGCCTCACCCTGACGGAGCAGGAGTCATCCTTACCAAGGTGCGTCTCACAGCCATCTGTTTCTCACACACCCCATGTTCAAATCTTCCCCGCACATCTAAACTTGCACCCCATGGCCACCTCTTCTCCAAACCACCCATTCCAGTTGCGTCTCTCCCGTGGTCTGTTTTACCCCCTTCTCCAAACCCCGTCCTTACAGGTGAAGTGCAACTCGACGCGCTACGCAGTGATCGACGTCGCGCGTCCCGCCAAGGCGGTGGATCTCCGCGTCTTCTTCCGCAAGGAGTCCCGCCTCTGCTCGCTTGACGTGCGTGTCAGGGGTGTGGGGGTGAGAGAGGGATGGGGGTGTGGGTGTGTGTAGAGGATGCTGGGAAAGTGAAGGGCCAGACTAGAGGTGGTGGATCTCCGCGTCTTCTTTCGTAAGGAGTCCCGTGCGTGTGTGTGAGGGGTTGGGAGGGGTGGTGCAGTGTAAGGGGCGCGATGCTGCAGATCTCTGCATCTCCCTCTGCAAGCAGCCCCCATCGTCTGCTCACTTGACATGCGCGTGATGGGCCAAAGGGTGAGAGCGTGAGAGGGGGGAAGGGTTGAGGCGTGCTCTGCTAATCGGATGTGCATGTGAGGGAGAAGGGTTGTATATGTGAGGGGAGACGGGTTGTATATGTGAGGGGAGACGGGTTGTATATGTGAGGGACATGTGGCGTGCTCTGCCGATTTGGTGTGTATGCCCTTGTGCTGGCTATGATGGCAACCCCTTTCATGCATAACGTCCCCTCGGTTGTCATGCTCGTGTTTCTCATCCCCTTGCCTGTGATGCTCATGTTTCTCATTCCCTCTTGCATCTCTATGCCAATCAGGTGCGGCTGAGTGCTTCAGAGCCTTGGCCTCGTGCACAGGCCTATGGGAGATGTTCTTCTCACCTTCTACTCTTCCATATTCTAAACAACCCCGCACTCCCCCCCCATCCCCCCACCCCCCAACCCCCCCTCCTCTCCAGGACGCCATTAGGCTGCCGTTGAGCACATTGCATCGGCCGCACTCATTGACAGCGTCCCAAAGCAAGTTCTGAGTCGACTCAGCCCACCCCCCACTCCCCCCCTCTCTCCTCCCCTCCCCTCCCCTCCCCTCCCCTCCCCTCCCCTCCCCTCCCCTCCCCTCCCCTCCCCTCCCCTCCCCCTCCCCCCCTCTCCCCTCCCCTCCTCTCCTCACCAGGACGCCATTCAGGCTGCCTTTGAGCGCATTGCGTCGACGGCAGTCATTGACAGTGCTTCAGGCTGGCTGCTGCACTGGCCATGCACCACAGGCCTCGACCTGGATACCACCATAGTAACACCTCTTTCGTCAGCCGCCCCACCATCGGCTAGTCGTTTTGTTCTCATGGGAGTGTGGCACATCAGGTCGTGGGTGATTGCAGGAGAACGCCTCACATGGAAGCTGAATGAGATGAATGTGCGCATGCTGTTCCAACCTGAAGGCTTGGTCACCAGCATCAGTGTTTTCCCAAATTGTTGGGGGGAGAAGATGAAGGTATGACCCCCATCCGAATCTGCTTTACTGTTGATTTTTCTTCGGATGCAGTTAATCGGTGTACTAAATGTACGAGCCAGATGTTTTTAATCGGTGTTCTTTCTAACATGTGACAATTCAAACGAATCCTTGGGGGTAGTTTAAATCTCTGGGAGTTGCTTCCTCCGTGTGGTTTACATGTGTTTTATTTGTGTGGCTGGTATGGCGCTCTTGTACTCCTTTTGTGATCCTCCTGTGTACTTCATTTGCAAACTGGTCTTAGGGGTGATAAGTTCAATCAATATCGGGTCATGAGAATAAGTTTGAGGGTGATTTTGTACGTGTGATTTTGCAGTACTATTGTTTTTTGTCGCTGGTTGTTTGCCGGTCGCTTAACTCCACTCCTCCATTTGCCTTGTTTTGTTGAATCCCGATGCAGTGTTATGAGAAGCCGGAGCCAGGCCCGACAACCTCCTCACAGCCCATCAAATCAACATCGTCTGCCTACTCTGCCGCATCCTGCTTTGACTCGACCTTGTGGCAGGCGCCACCAAAGTGGACCCCGGAGGGCATCCTTTCAGAATGCCCCGTCCTTATAGACTGGCTACAGTACCGGCTGCCTTAGAGTAACACCTTTATGCCTTGGCACAAATTTGCGTAGCAGAGCTACGGTAGGCCGACGTTGGCCCTCACGCAGAGCTAGGGCGACGTCCAGTAACGCGGTACTTGTACAGGTGCACTGCTTCGCTATAAAGAGGTGCGTTAGGTTAGGGATGAACCTTCGAGAATGTTAGTATAATAGCCATCGGTTATTCCAACAACTCGAAATCCATTGGATGTTGTGTATCCCTTGCAATGCGAGATTGGTCGACGTGAACACCTCTTGCAGCTGAAAAGAAAATGCCGACGCCAAGGTCATGAATGCCTCAAGTGTTCGGTGGTGCGGTACACAAATGGTTAGAATGTTAAATTAAAACATATACCTGTATTTGAGAGTCGGTTTTTGTACTCATTTCACGCCATGGGCGAAATCCTCTAAATAGAGTGTACTGTAGTGAAGATTGGTCAAAAACTGTTCTGAAAATGAATACTGGCATTGTGAGACCCAATAAGGGCGCGATGCATCCTGCGCATTTTCTCCTAGTTTGTACGTTGGCCGTTTTGCGCTGTTACGGCTGCAATGAATCGAGATAGCGAGGATTGCACTAAGGTGTTAAACGAGTACAAAATGTGAGCGAAGGCATGAGCGAACATTTATACGCGAAACATGCAAACGGTAACGTGGTGCGTGCGACCTAGCTAGTGCTCCGCTGGCAGCGAGGCTCGGGCTAGTCCCGAAGCGTGGGCCGAGACGGCCGGGCCAGCAGTGCGAGGTTTGGTGAAACAGTGCGCGCGAAGTCGGCGAAGCCCCGTTAGCAGTAACGGGCGAACAACGGCTGCTGCTGTACACGATGTTGCAGGGTGCGCTAAGGAATGTCGAGAAAAATCCTTACACTACCCCCCCTCCAAGAAGCCCCCTCCGCTACACGAGTGCGTGTATATCGCGGAAACCCCGGCTCCTCAGGTACACTTGCAGGGTAGGATGGTTTTCGATGTTGGCCAGGGGCACCCAGCTATCCTCAGTTTGCGTGTCGTCCTTCCAGCGAACAAGGAATTCAATCCTCCTGATTCCAGTGGGGTGTCGAATCCGATGGCTCGGGATTTTTTCGGGCTCGATGATCGGCTCCGATGCAGGGCGAGTCTGTCAGAATGTTATGTTTCTCTAGTCTGCAGTGGGGTACTCTATAGTGAGTACAACCCTTTTAGGGTTTGCTATATGTATCCCAATGTTTGCTAGTGAACCCCCTTCTTTCTGCTTCTAAACTTTTTATCATACTTGTGACATGCTATCAGAGCAGGTCGACCCTCCTGGGTCGATCCTATGGGTGGGCCCCACCCGATGCTTCCGCTGCTCTACTGTTGTTGCACGCCCCGGGCGCGCAACCCTTTCTTCCTGCCGCGCACTCGGAGCGCGCGGCGTTTTTCATCCCACCGTGCGCTCAGGGCGTGCGGCGGTTTTCTGCCCGCCGTGCGCCCCGAGGCGCGCGGCGGTTTCCTGCTTCGCGCGGCGGTTTTCTGCCCGCCATGTGCTCGGAACGCGTGGCGGTTTCCTGCCCACCGGGCACCCTGGGCGCACGCGGCGGTTTCGCGTTCCGTCGACCCGCGCGCCCGTCCCCGTCGACCTGCGCGCGGCTCCATGTCGCCCTTCGCGGCGGCCCCGTCGACCCGCGCGCGGCTCTCCGTCGCCCTTCGCGGCGGCCCCGTCGACCCGCGTGCCGCCCCCGGCGACCCGTGCGCCCATCCTCGTCGACCCGCGTGTCGCCCTGCGGCCCCCCCTCCCCGCACACCTGCGTTTGCTTACCGCACACTCGAGTTCGCTTCCCGCACACTTGTGCACGCTTCGCGCACACTTGAGCTCGCTTACCGCACACTCAGGGTATGGGGGTGGCGAGTAGGGGGTGCCGGGTGTGTGGTCTCCCCTGCTCCTCCTCCTCCTCTGTCTCCCACTGCTGCAGCTGCCGCTGAGGGGGTTCCTTGGACTGGTGAGCTCCCTCCCTGATAGGCCACTGCAGTCATGGCTACCCCCAGTGTCCTTACCTTTGATACTGAGGGTCGTGCTGTTGACTTTGAGGTCTGGGTCGATGACCTCCAGCTGTTCTTACAGTGCGATAGGGCGGACAGACTCTCACTGTTCGATCTCACCTCTGGGTCTCTCCTGCCTCACCTACTACTGCTGACAGCACTGTTCGCTCACAGTGGGCCACACGCGATGCTGCTGCACGCCTTGTTGTGCGTCGCCACTTACCGACCACTCAGCGTGCGCACTTTAGCCACTACAAGAGTGCTAAGTCCTTGTACGATGCTGTAGTTGCGCACTACTCTTCCCCTGCCACTACTGCACTTAGCCGCCTCATGCTACCGTACCTGTTCCCTGACCTTGCCGCCTTTCCCACTATCGCTGACCTCATTACGCACCTTCGCACTAGTGACACTCGCTACCGTGCTGCGCTTCCCGCTGAGTTTTTTGCCAAGAACCCCCCCCCCCCCATGTACATCACCCTCTACTACATAGTCACCCGACTCCCTGACTCCCTTCGCTTAGTCAGGGACCACTTCCTCTCGGTTTGCCCTACCACACTCACCGTTGACCTCCTCGAGGAGCGCCTCCTAGCAGCAGAGAAGAGCATAGTCGCTGTAGGAGCCTCCCGTGGTGACCCTTGCACCCCTGTCTTTGAGGGGTGTTCTCCCTCCCCCCTCTTGCCCTCTGTTGCTTCTGCTGCTGCGGGCGACCTCGTTGGTTTCGAGTCGGTCGGCGTTGCGTCTGCCCCTTCGGCGAAACGCCGCACAGGCAAGGGCAAGGGGCGCAAGGGCGCTGGAGGGGCCAGTGGGGGCGGTGGAGGTGGTGGTGGAGGCAGTGGAGGGGGTGGGGGTGGTGGTGGGAGTGGTGGCGGGGCCGGAGGTGTCGGTGGCAGCAGTGGAGGCGGAGGAGGCGACGGCGGTGGCGGAGGGAGCGGAGGCGGCGGTGGTGGAGGAGGCGGCGGAGGCGGCAGAGGCGGCGGAGGTGGCGGTGGAGCTGGTCGCGGCTCTGTGCAGAGGAGTGGCTCCGGTGGTGGTCCGCGCCAGCACCAGCAGCGCGGCCGTGAGACCCTGTCCCCTCAGCAGCTTCGTGAGTGGTACGTTGGGCGTTAGCGGGGTGGGAGTACTGGTCCCTGCACCTACGTTCTCCGTACAGGCGACCGCGCTGGTGAGAAGTGCGGGGGCTCGCACTCCACCTAGCGCTGCTTCGGCCGACTGACGGATGCTTGGCATCATCAGTTCCCTGACGCTACTGAGATCCCTCGCTGGGGAGAGCTGTCTAGGGCAGGGGTAGCTATCTTTGATCTTGACTTTGATGCTATTCTTGCTGCCATGTATGCTGTGTCTACTAGTGATGAGGGTGACTGTTACCTGTGTCTTCCGCCTGACCCGGGCATTGAGGCTGCTGCTCTAGGTGCTGGTGAGGCTGCTACTCCAAGTGCTAGTGCGTCTGCTTCCCCAGGTGCTGGTGAGTCTGCTCTCTCAGGTACCACGTCGGCTCAGGCCTTGCACACCTTCACCCTTGACTCGGGTGCTTCCCACTCCTTCTTCCGAGACCGCACCACGCTTACGCCACTTAGTCGGCCGGTTGCGATCTCCCTGGTGGACCCCTCTGGGGGTCCTGTCCTTGCTAGCTTCTCCACTGTCTTACCGTGTCCGGCAGCCCCCTCTGGCACTCTGTCCGGTCTCTACCTCCCCCCGTTCTCTACGAACTTGGTGAGTGGAGCTGATCTGCAGGATCAGGCGGTTCACCAGTTCACGCCTGCGAGTCAGCGGGTGACCCACTGTACGTGTGCTCGGACGGGCCGACACTTGGCCACGTTTACCCGTCAGCCGGGGTCGAGCCTGTACACACTGACCACTGAGTCTCCTCCTGTTCCTGCATCTGGTCAGGTAGCTGCGTCGAGTCAGGTGTTTGCTGCAGCGTCCAGGTCTGGTCCTGAGTCTGCGCCCTGCTCTGTTGTCTCCCGTCCCACCAGACTCTCCTTTGGCACCACCGCCTTGGTCACCCCTCCCTGCCTCGTCTCCGAGGCATGGCCTCTCGTGTCCTTGTCTCTGGTCTCCCCTGGTCCCTCCCTCCCCTACCTCCGGGGCCAGCCCCTACCGACGTCCCCTGCATCGAGGGGCGGCAGCGCGCCGCTCCTCACTCCTCCGAGTTTCCTCCGACAAAGGCTCCCCTGCAGACTCTTCACATGGACGTGTGGGGCCCGGCCCGCGTCCGTTGCCAGGGTCACGAGCGTTACATCCTGTTGGTGGTTGACGACTACTTGTGTTACACCACGGTGTTCCCCTTGCGCAGCAAGGGTGACGTCTCTGAGGTGTTGATCGACTAGATCCGCGCAGCTCGTCTCCAGCTCAGAGAGAGTTTCGGCTCGGACTTTCCTGTTCTGCGTCTGCACTCTGACAGAGGCAGAGAGTTTTCCTCTGCGCGTCTGGGTGCCTTCTGTCGTGCACAGGGCATCTGCCCGACCTTCACACTTCCGGCCTCTCCATAGCAAAATGGGATTGCTGAGCGCCGCATCGGCATGGTCATGGACGTCGCTCGTACGTCCATGATCCATGCGGCTGCTCCCCATTTTCTGTGGCCGTTTGCGGTTCAGTACGCCGCGCATCACCTCAACCTTCAGCCCCGGGTCTCCTTGCCAGAGACCTCCCCCACCTTGCCGTGGACGGGGAAGGTCGGCGATGCGTCTGCGTTTCAGGTCTGGGGATCTCGGGCGTTTGTCCGCGACTTGTCTGCGGACAAGCTGTCCCCCCGTGCTGCTCCCTGCGTATTCCTCGGCTTCCCCCCTGACGCGCTGGGTTGGCAGTTCTACCATCCCACCTCGCGCCGTGTTCTGTCCTCCCAGGATGTCACCTTTGACGAGTCGGTGCCTTACTACCGTCCCTTCCCCTACCGCACTACGCCCCTCCCCCCGCCGCCGCTCTTCCTTGCGCCAGGTCCTCCCCCGGTAGACCCCCTCCCCCCTCAGGGTCCTGCCCCGTCAGGTGTGTCCCAGGTAGACGCAG